CCCAAACAACAATCATATTATGTCAATTGCCACCGGAATTTCTGGTAATATTTTTCTTTTTCTTTGCCTTAATCCCAACTAATTGGGGTCGGCCACCCTTATCCTAAGCTTCCACTTGACACGATGTCCCACATCCTCTACGCTCACATCAGCTGTCCTCAAATCGCATTCAATAGCATCCCTCCATCTCTTTTTTGGTCTTCCTCTATCTCTTCTTCCTTCAACATTCATTTCTATAACTGTTCTTACAGCTTCCGATTCTTCTTTCCTCATACCATGACTAAACAATCTAAGTCTATTTTCTGTCATCTTATCCACGATTGACGCAACACCTATACTTCCTCTTATATGCTCGTTCCTTATCCTATCTTCTCTAGTCACTCCACTCATCCAACTAAGCATTCTCATCTCTGCTACACTTATTCTCTGCTCTACTTTCTTATCAACCGCCCAACACTATGAACCATACATCATAGCTGGCCTCACAATTTCATACTAAATTTAAAAACTATAATTAGTATTTATTCATATATTATATTTTAAAATCAAAGAACTACTAATCAGGATATAATTAAAGAAATAAGAGTTCATGTTGCTTTTAAAATATTTCACCAATTTCTCTAAAGGAAACACTATCTACAGATTTGCATCGAAGCGTTTCTTATGANTGATTTACATCGAAGCGTTTCTTATGATAGTGATTTTAATCACTGTCAGATATCATCTATACTTGTGCCATCTATGCCTCGTTCACACTGTGCCTCGACCCCGCTGTGCTGGGTTTATTTTTNAACCCTACTGTGCTACTGTGTTTTTTATTTATCCTTCCAACCATTTCTGTCCTTTACCATAACTTCTAGCTAATACCCTATCTCCTATTTCAGAATTTGTTTTTCTATTACCTTTATAATTGTTTCCTGATATTCCTGACTTAGTCTGACCTTATCTTTCACGTTTTCCTGAATAATCATTTTTGTTTTATTATTGAATTGATTTAAAATTAGATCAAATTTATTATTTAATTTTCTATTTAAGTGTAATTCAGCTGGACTTTTGCCAGTGGTACAATGAACAGTGTTTCTGTAATCTAATAAAAATTTACATGATGCCTGTATGACATTATTTTCATTGTCTAAAATTTTTTTTATTTTGTCCTTGAAAATACCAACCATATTTTCTGCTGCCCCGTTACTCTGCGGGTGATAAGGAGGAGTCAATATGTGTTTAATAGAATTATTCATAATGAATGTCTGAAATTCATCTGAGGTCCATTGTGGCCCATTATCAGTGACTAAGGTTTTACTAATACCATAACGAGCGAAATATTCCCTCAAAATATTTATTGTATGGAAAGAAGTAGTAGATGACATTTTTATAACTTCTGGCCATTTCGAATATTGATCAATTATTAGAATAAACATAATTCTATTTAATTCTAAAAAATCAGCATGTACCCTTTCACCTGGAGCGCTAGGATACTCCCACACTTGCAAAGGGGACTTGCCCGGCTCTTTCCTAAATTTACTACACGTATTACAAGAAGCTATAAATTCCTCAATGTTTTTATTTAATTGTGGCCACCAAAAATAATTCCTAGCCATTATTTTAAGTTTAACAATACCAAAATGAGTACTATGAAGTTCCCTCAAAAAAATTTGTTGTAAGCTTTTTGGCACAACCAATTTATGTCCAAGAAAAATACAGTTTTCAACAATGGTTAATTCATTTTTTTGTAAGTAGTATGGCCTAACCAGTTCCTCTTTGATTTTATTTTTTTGGCCAACCCGTTAAAACATATTGCTTAATTTCTTTTAAAATTTCATCAGATTCAGTTTCTTTTTGAATTAAAACCTTGTTTATACCTTGAAAATAACTATTGATAAAGTGAATAGATGGGGTATCAATTTCATTATGATTTGTATTCTTAATAGCTAATCTAGATAAAGCATCCGCACTTGAATTTTCTGTTGATTTAACATACTTAATACTATAATTATAATTTGCTAAAAATAAGGCATACCTTTGTAGTCTATTCGCAGCCACTTGTGGTAGACATTTGTTTTCATGAAAAATATGAGTAAGAGGTTTATTGTCACTTTTTAAAATAAAATGTCTACCAAACAAATATTGATGAAATTTTTTTACACAAAACACAATAGCTAACGCTTCCTTATCAATTTGAGAGTATTTCTGTTCAGCAACATTTAAAGTTCTAGAGGTATATGCTATAGGTCTCTCTTCATTATTAGGTAAAATATGTGAAATTACACCACCTACACCATAGGAACTAGCATCACATGCTAAACTAATCTTATAATTGGGATTGAAATGCATTAAAATAGGAGCAGAAGTTAAAAAGTTTTTTATTTCCTTAAAAGCNTATGGGAGCAGAAGTTAAAAAATTTTTTATTTCCTTAAAAGCATCATCACACTTTTTATTCCACACAAACAAATTATCCTTTTTTAATAATTGATACTGTGGAAATAATATATCAGTACTATTTTTAATAAATTTAATATAATAATTAACCATACCAAGAAATGATTTTACCTGAGTAATATTAGTTTGAATTGGTGCTTCAACAATTGCTTTAATTTTAGCCTCACTAGTACTCAGTCCCTCTTTATTAATTTTATATCCTAAATAATGTATTTCATCCTGGAAAAAAAAACACTTTTCTTTTCTCACCGTTGTTGTGCGGGCCCACGTGGTAAAAGGAATTAAACTTAATGAGAAAAAGAAAACACTCACTTTTCAATAAAACTTTAGAATATATAATTTGATTGACACAATTAATAATACAATACACGTTATTTGGGTAATATTGGGAATTCTAGAACCCCCCNGTAGGGTAATATTGGGAATTCTAGAACCCCCCCGCCTCACCCCTTCACCTACCCACTCACCGATGGGTGGCGTGGTCGGGGGGAGGGGCGTGTCACACAGTGGGCGTGGTCTTTCGATGGTGGGGGTAATGTCAAGGT